TCCCGTGACCGGGAAGGGGTGTCCCCCCGTAGCTGCAATCTTGTTGCCCGGGGGAAACCCCGGTGGCTAATCCCATGACAGCCAATTGCTGCAGCCAATTACTGCAACTGCTTCTGGGAATGTCTGTGGCCACTTCTGGGAGCAGCTGCAGCGATCGGCCGGTACTTGCAGGGAGGGCACTGGCACTCCTGCCTGCCCCCCTGCCCATTGCCCAAGCAGTGAGTGTGGCCAGTCAGGGGGTGCACCGACGCTCTCAGGGGGTTCATGTGCACCCCCATGCATCACCACTGCAACTGATCTAAACCAGTTCAAACCTGTCTAAACTAGTTCAGCAGTCTAAACTGTTTCAAACTGATCTAAATAGTTTCAAATTGGTCTAAAACAGTTCAAACTACTTCAGTCTGATTCAAACTGGTGTACACTGGAGCTGACAATCCCTTTCTGATCCATCTAGGCATTAGATTCAAAATTGCCTTAAACCAGGTTTAAAGGCTCCAACACTGCCAAATGGGACAGATAGTGCAGTTTTAATCAAACCAGTTCAAATTATGTGAACTAGTTCAAAGACATCTATAGTTCTCTAAACAAGTTTAAATCAGTCTAAACTACTCCAAACCAGTCAAAACCTGTCTAAACTCATTCAAACTGGTCTAAACCAGAGACATGAAGTCAACTGACTCCCTTAGCACTGCTTGTCTTGTATAATTAAGTACTAAATAAATGTGCAGTACCCAGATTTACTGCGCAGTAGCCTTTTAAGTGAGGCTACTTCACAGTAGCCTAATAGTGTGCAATAGCATATTAGCATTGTTAGTGATATGATACAATAATGTGCAGTATTATTTGGCGACTGCGCTGTCAGCATCTTGTGTAGCCATGCCCACTACTCACTGTCCTATGGTGGAGTAAATTAATCTACTTTACCCTAATTGCAGTGTATGTGTAGATGGTAAAGCTTTACTGTGCATTAAATTAATTTATTGCGCAGTGAAACGCACATATAGACGCACCCAGTAGGTATTTATGTTCACAGGCACATACATTTCCTAATTTCATATTTAAAATATCAAGAATTGTCATTTAGAACTTTTTATTAAAGAACTAGATCTGCACATTTCCTAATGAGATACATTCAATAAGCCTATTTATATACAGCTCTTTACATTCAGGAGGCTATTATTAAAAGCATAAGAAAGAGAAGTTTTTTCCTGTTGAAAGTTTAAATTCTGTATATGTAGAAAACTCAAGAAAACAGTTTACCATACTGCATTTAAGTCACAACTCCAAGATGAAGAAATATTGTACTAGAAAATAAGCCACCCAAATATATTTAACTACATACCATTCATGTCAAGGAAATAATAAATATGAACAAAAACATGGTTACAATGAGCTTTTCATAAAATATTTACATTCTGTTAAATAAGACCTTTCAGTTAATATTTAAAAATATTAATCCATTTCTATGGTTCACCTAGTGTGAAATATCTTGATTTATTTTTATATAAATACTAAAGGTGAAGGCTCCATTAAATCTAAGTATATGATTTTGAACCCAGAATGTCCTCTTTGCTGCAGAGAGAAAATTACTCATATTTATGACTTTATTGTGATTTAGGATTAGTTTGTAGCCATTTTATCTTAAAATATCGTTTTATTTCAAGAAGCTTTAAAACATGAATTGCAAGTACTAAATTGAATTTCATAAACAAGGTGGCCTGCTGTAAAATTAGATTTGATATAAAAAGTGATCTGCAATATATATAGGATTTGTTTATACAAGCTTGACTCCAATTTCTTTGTCAATCAGAAATAAACAACACTGTAGCTAAATAAAGATGGCCTGAACTTAGTCATACATATACAATAGTCAAATAAAAAAATAAGTAAATGCACACAAACTTGCCCATATTAGATTCAGAGGGTTTTCAATATTCATGAATTAGAAATACAGGAAACAAAAGGTCTTTGAGGTTTTAAGATGGTTAACTAATACAGCAATATTTAATTTTCATTTTGCAATGCTCCAGTACCCAGCCAGAATTTTAAGACTGTAGAGACATAAGATTTCACCTCCTCCACTCCCTTGCAACAAAAGTTGCAGAGTTAAGAATCACAAACGGGTCTGTCATTACATCCAGTATTATGCACTGTTTTACACATGGGTATACACAGACATTAAAAGGGGAGTATGTTAAACTGGTCTGCTAGTATCTTATATATGCAAGCGTTCAAGTTCAAGAAGCTGGTGACAGCTATGCAAATCATGAATATTAATATTTGGACTGGTACACCATTTAGGCATATGAGCCACACTAGAGAGCAAGACTAATCTTCCGTCCAGAAGAGGACAACGTTTCTTAGCCTCCTCCCCATAACCCACATAGCCAACCCCCTTCCCTACCCCTGATCCATGTCACTTACTCATGCAATAGAAGCAGCCATAACTCGAGGAAGAAATGGAAAATCTGATTACCCAGATGCAGTCAGTCAATCTTTCTCCTGTGGATTTCACATGAAAAAAGCAGTTGGCTTTGAATGCTGATTTGCAGTTAGTCTCCAACACAATTGTATTGAAGGATGGGCAGAGAGTTTATTTTTTTAAATGTATATAGGCATGTAGAAGCCAGGCAACTAAACAGAGCAAAATTCCTAAGAAAAATGGATTACACTTGCCCATGTAAATTACTAAATTTTAAAGCTTAGTGGCATGCCCAGTCCAGAAATTATTTGGCTCCCTTGATTGCCCTCACATAAATTCAGTCTGTCCCTTTCTGCTATAAATGCCTGCCTGCCTTCCATTAATTATTTAGGACCACCTCTCCCCTCTTCCACATGTCTCAGTTCTGGCTGCCCTACTTTATTCAAACTCCTTTCAGGTCCCCTTTTCCCTAGCCCTCTTTTCCTTCACTCCCCACCCCTTTGTTTTTCTCCTCCACAGAGTCCATTACCTTTCATGCAGGTTGGGCTGGATGAGCTCCTTGCTAAACAGCTGCAGTTGTTTTTGCCGGCTGGGGCAACTTCTCCCAGCCTTTGTTCTTCCCCTACTGACTACTCAGCACTCTTCCCTTAGCTCCACCCCTTCCCTCATTAGAGAAGAGGAGACGTGCTGATATCAGGGCTATGGGCTGACTGTGAGGAAGAAGAAACTCTCAGTTCTGCCCAGCTAGCCAAAAGCTAGAGGCACCTGGTGAGGAAGCAGGGGAGGCAAGGGGAAGAATGGCAAAAAACAGGCTGAAAAGCCATTGATCCAACCAAAACCTCTGCAGATCTAGATCTGGAATTCACATTATAAAGATAATCTGCACTCTCAAATTTTTGCAGATCAAGTGGTAACCTTCCCATCTGCGGATACTCTAACTCTCTCCCAGTACCAAAATTAGGTGGCTGCGGAGGCAGGGGAGGAAGCAGAGGAGGAGGTTCCTCTGCAACCAAGCTCCATGCTTTCCAGCTGTCCTGATATCCACAGTACATATAAATTATTTGGTGGCCTTTGTTATCACCCTTTGGCAGATACCCAGAGGACTTTCTGTACAACTGCGCGCATTGTACTGCAAGGGTATAAACACTGGTTTGCCCAGAGCATTTTCTATAATTCTGGAGGAAATCCATGAACATCAGAGACTGGGGTGAGCTAGGCATGTTAATACCAGTGAGCTAATGTTGCCTGTATCCTTCTTCCCAGTCTCCTCAATAGGCATGGAAGTCTTCTAGGGTAAGATAATAAAGTACACGTGAGGTTCTCTGGTTTGGGGACAGTTTTTCTAACAGTGAACTGGTGGTGAGTATTTTCCAGAATCATGCCCCTGAAAGGGATAAACTGAGAAGAAAGGAAATATATATCAAAGTAAAAAATGAGGACAGCAAGAACATAGAGAAAATAAGAAAGTTCTGGTAAAGCAATTAAATAAAAATATGTTGTGGGGGAAGGGAATGCAGAGTAAAAGAAAGAGAACACTGAATAAAATAACCCCCCAAACCAGGAGAAATGCAAATGGGAAAAGGGAGAAAAATCACAGGACACAATTGTAAAGAAAGGGAATGAGATTGACAGACCATGGCAAAAATAAATCATAAATTTAAAATAGGCTTTAAAAAATAAATAAGGGAAATATATAAAAAGAAAAAAAAGGTAATGGAAAGAGAACCAAAACACAAGTAATTTTTTAAGGTCAGAAGAGTTCACATGGAAATATCCTAAGGGTTTTTCTACCCTGGCTTTACACAACATAGGAATGAAGAACAAAACATTTTAAAGGATTTAAATGCAGTAGGAATCCAAGGCCCTTTTCCTAGATTCATAGATTGTAGAGTTGGAAGGGACACTGAAGGATCATCGTGTCTGACCCCCTGCCCCAGGCAGGAAAGAGGACTGAGGTCAGACGACCCCAGCCAGGTGCCTATCTAGCCTCCTTTTGAAGACCTCCAAGTTAGGGGATAGTACCACCTCTCTTGGCAGCCCATTTCAGATTCTGGCCACCCTTACTGTGAAAAATGTCTTCCTAATATCTAACCTGAATCTACTCTCCACTAGTTTGTACCCATTATTCCTAGTTATTCCTAGAGGTGCCCTGGTAAATAGAGCATCTCCAATTCTCTGTTGTCCTCCCTTTATAAACTTATAGGCTGCTACGAGGTCTCCCCTCAGACATCTCTTGTGAAGGCTGAAGAGATCCAGATCCCTCAACCTCCCCTAGTAGGGTCTTGCATGGAGGCCACCAATCATACAAGTGGCCCTCCTCTGGACCCTCTCCAAATTCTCTGCATCCCTCTTGAAGTGTGGTGCTCAAAACTGGACACAGTACTCCAATTGTTGGCCTGACCAATGCCGCATAGAGGGGGAGCATCACCTCCCTCGATCTGTTGGTCATGCATCTGTTAATGCACAATAAGGTGCAACTGGCTTTGTTTATAGCTTTGTTACACTGCCGGCTCATGTTCATCTTGGAGTCAACTATGACTCCAAGATCCTTATTTCTTTTCAGCAATAAATTAGTATAGGCCAAAGCCACTATATTTTGTGATCTTGTCACCCAGATCACTTGAAATATGTACTCCTGTATAGGACAAGCTAGGAGTCGCTTTGGACTGTGAATACTACGTTTATAGGGTTGCCAACCCTTCTGGATTGGCCAGGAGTCTACTGGAATCGGCATCGATCTCCCAGAGACTATTGAAAGCAACCTGGGAGATTGATATTGTGAATGGGTTGAACAGTACAATTAATGACTGGAGGTGCACACATCAGTCCCAAATCGGATCAGCACTGATCTAAGGAAAATAGACAGTATAGCCAATCAACTTTTCTTTGGCTGATGTAGCCAATAATGTCACTGATAAATGCCCTGTGCATGTGTGCAGCTGCAGCACAGCATGCAGGTGGCCAGGAGTGCAGCCTGGAAGCATGGAGAGCAGCTGGGTCCAGCTGGTAAGTCTGTTGTGGGGGAAGGGATGTGGGGGTGTGCGGATTGAGCTTCAGCAGTGAGGAAGGCAGTGGGCTTGGGGCAGGCACTGCACAGCCAGGGCGGGGTGTGGGATGGAGTCGCAAGGAGCTCATTCAGGTGGCACCCATTGCTGCACACACCGTAGGAGGTGGGGCATAGGGGTGTGTGCTCCAGGATCTGCACATGGGGTGGAAGCAGGCTACCACTCTGGGATGGGGTTGGGGGCAGTGCCAGGTCCTTCCCAGTGGGGGCTGGGTCGGGCCTGCATTCAGGGCAGGCAGTGGCAGCGCTGGGAGGGAGAGCTATGGTGAATTTTGGGGTGGCTGCAGCTCCCCCCCTCCACCCATAGTCCCTCTCCCAGCACCACCACCACCCAAACTGAGCACAGCCCTGGCCCAGCCCCCTGCTAGGAAGAGGCCAGAGCTGCCCTTGGCTCCAGCACTCAGTGGCAGCCCACCCTTACCCTATGTACAGATCTGGGAGCATGCACCCCCCATGCCCTCCCGGGGTCTGTGTAGTGGCAGAAGTTGCCCCTCCTCCCTGTGCCCCCCAGACAAGCTGCTCGTGGCTCCATCCCACCCCCTGCC